GTGATTTTGAGTTTGTTTTTGTGTCTGCCAGAGGACTTTTATCATTTTAACATTTAAATATTAACCAAAAAACAAATATCCAACAACGTTACTCAGATATCTGCCTGAATGTTGAACCACTTTTAAAACCTCTGATGTCTGCAAAGTAACATTTCTGAGTGACCTGTGTGTGCATTTAAAGACACCCAGAGAGATTAAGATAAACTGAATTTATCAGAAAAGTGCTGACCTTTGACCCCGTGAGACCATTATGAAGGGAAAGATCGAGGTTGAATAAAAAAGAGGGACAGTAAGAGAGTGCTGTTTGTTTTATTAGCAGTAATCCTTTATAATGAGCTGCCTGCTGTCTTAATGTTTACACTGCCATTTCCTCTTCCTGTTAATCTGCTCTTGTTTCCCACCCAAGGCCTCGTGCATATGAGTGTGTGTGTGTGTGTGTGTGTGTGTGTGTGTGTGTGTGTGTGTTCCCAACCCAAGGTCCACGCTGGTGTAATTGAAAGCAAAACTCACTCCTTAATGTTTTGTCTTTTATAGCTCAGTCAAGGAAAGTAGGTTTGGTCGGCAGGTTTCCATGCGTTCAGACTTCACAGTTCTGTAACGTAGTTGTGTATTCCTCATTTATGTTTTCTCTTGATGAATTTCTCAATGAAGCTTTTTGCCAGGCCTCAGACTTTTTCTCGCAAGACGTCAAATACGACATGCTGCTCGGTGACCCTGATGTCGATATGTGAGTCCTTATGACCTCCATGGCGCCAGGGATGCTGTCCTCTGGTTTGTTTCTTTAATACTGCATTGAAAGCTGGTGACAGAGTATGAGGAGGAACTTTTCAACACCAAATAAAGCTGTTTTCACATATGCACTCCTGAAAAAAAAAGCAACAGAGTCCCTTTAAACGACGCTATAATGAGAATATATGCTTTTATATCAAAGCTATGTGTAGTTCCAAAGACTTGCAATATCAACAAAAGAGCGGAGAAGAACAAACTGGAGAACAGAGAACATAACGCAGAAGTTTAAATATAGGTATAAAGCTTTTGAAGAGACTCAAACAAAAGTACACTAATAATCAAAAATACCAAAGTATGCAGTGGTGGACTCATTTCTATTCGCAGAGTTCAGTTGACTGTAGAAACACATCAGACATTGGTTTGACTAACTGCAATCTTAACCTCTTTCTCAACTTTGAATAGTTGATAAATGTTTGAAATTAGCTTCCCTTTTTCATATCCTTGTAAACGTTGAATGCATGTTTCAATACTTCTTCAGAAAGCCTGGACTTTTACCCCTCGTCCCTCTATACTCTGTGTGTGTGTGTGTGTGTGTGTGTGTGTGTGTGTGTATGTGTGTGTGTGTGTGTGTGTGTGTGTGTGTGTGTGTGTGTACTGTCTGTGTGTTTTGTGTGATGCAGAGAGGTGAAGCTTGCAGCTGAACAGCTGTAGGGAAAGGAGGATGAGCTCAACGGAGAGACGGAGGAGAAAAGAAAAGGTCTATTATTACGGGAGGTGGAGGGGACAAAAGACAGAAAGAAGATGACGAAGGGAAAAGCTAAAGAAGAGCTGACATCATGACGGACAGACAGAAGGAGGGAGGAGATGACGGAGGGGAGGAAGGGGAGGAGGAGGGGGGACACTGGATAGAAAGAGAAAGATGGATGAGCGGGGACAGAGTCATAAAGACAGAGAGGAGGATTTAAATTAGGGAGATTTAAAGTAAAAAAAAAAAAAGATGGAGAGATAGGAGGTTAAAGAGATAGAAAGAGGACGAGCGAGTGAGATATTTCACACCTCCAGCATGAATAATGTATTTATTTATAAGATGAATGTGCAGAGTATTCATGTGTAAGTGCAGCGTGTCTGTGTTTTCTCTCAGTGAGAGTCCGTCCTTTCTCCTCTGCAGGGGTGTGTGTGTGTGTTGTTGTGTTTGTGTGTGTCTGGCAGATGGTCAGGGCCACACACACACACACACACACACACACACACACACACACACACAGCTGACCAGCCCTGAGGCTCTTATAATAGGTCCTGCTCCTGTAGTCGTTCAGCCCCTCAGAGGAATCCACACTCTGACCCAGCATGCCTTAGCAGGACTTTTACACTGTCTTTGTGTGTGTGAGTGTAAGTGTGTGTGTGTGTATGAACTTTAATTGTCACGATGAATAGTCTTGAAGTGGCCAGCTGCTCCTCTCTAAACCTGGGTTTGCATTTTAATTGACATTCATCATCACAAGCTGCCCTGACCCCCTGATGAAGCTGGATTTAGTGATTCATTCAGGGTTCCTTGTTCTATAAGATCTGATGATTATTCATCTGTGAGCTGGCAGATATTTATATTGTGGGTGAGGTGGGAATATTAAAAAAAAAGCAGTCTTATAAGATAGCAGATGTTTTCTTTAGTCTGCTGTGTTTAGTGGATTTGGCCTGAGCTTTTTCTCAGGAGCGATAATGTTTTTTAACATACTTAAATACTTAATCCCTGATGGGAAATTCTGGTTTTACACTCTGTTATTGAGAGACATGCTTCTCACACACATACGCCCGATATACACACACACACATGCACAAACAGGACTTGTATGCATTAATGGAGAGATGTCAGAGTGAGGCTGCTTCACAGGGAGCGTGCCAGAGGTAAACTCTTAGAGCTTTATTTTAACCAATATTTATTAGGGAAAGCTGGCACGAGCTTCCAACTTGAAATTAAATTGAATTAATCAATTTAAGATACGGATGCATTTCATGGATCTGTCCCCAACGTCTCTTAGGACTTCCCTTCCGGACAAAGTAAAGAAAAATCTTGGGATATGTTTTTGGTGGATGGGGCCGAGAGCTTTCTCCTTGGCAGGACTAAGCTCGACTGCTTCAGCGCCAACCCCCCTCAGTTTCCTCTGCACTTTCTCTGATCCTAATCAGGCTGCACAAACAGAGACACAATAACAAACACCAGCATGGTTACTCGGCTCAGATTTTTAAGGTCGATGAGATTAGAAAATGGGACCGGGTTTGTGGAATCTCGTACCGTCCACTCAGCCAAGACTTTGTCTGTCAGCTGAAGATATTTCAGTTTGTACAGTGTGACTAACCGCTGCCTGCTGAGTGATTCACAGCGACAGAGTCATCATCACACAGCAGGGGGGAATTTATCAGGAACCCGTCTACTGAGTTTAATCACTGCCAGGCTATCTGTCACATGTATTTTTATCTGCATATCTGCCTGTCATGTGGCAAGAGCTTCCTCATGAGCAAAGAAAAAAGAACTTAGATACTTAATTTGTTAATTTGTCTTTTAATTTGACCAGAAAAGTCTGAATAAGGCGCAGCATCTCTTTGGCAAAGGGGGTTTTAGTAAAGCTGGCAGCAAGAAAAACACAAAACAAAAACATAAATGAAAAGGTTTCATGTAAGGATACACAAAAAGGGACACTTAAGATAACAAAAATAGACCGGAAATACCAAGAACACAATGAAGAGACTCATTACAGACAGGGATCAGAGTATAAATCAGATCATTGCAACAAACCCGGTCTGTTTCATGCAATAGAAATGTTCTGGTTTCAAAGTAGTTGTGAATACACAGAGTGGTGTTTTCTGATTTTCGATTAAACTAAAGCAAAGGTTTTAATGCTTGTGTTTGATAAAAGTCTGGTTTCCTTTATTTATTTATTTATTTATTTTATAGCAAACTGTTTGAAAACCAGCTGTGAAAAAAAGACGCTAAAAACAACAGCTACACTTATTAAATTCACACAGTAAGTTCCATGTAGCTGCAACATCTTGCGCTTCCATCTTTGTTGTGATGATTTATTTACAGTGAAGAACAAGAATTACATCTGCTTCATTTAAACACAAAACTAAAAATGCCTTCACTTTAGCATTATTTTTAAAATATGAATATAAAGAAAACCTTGTCATTTCAAAATATAAATATAATAAATGTTACAAAATACAAACGCCATGATGTTATGACAGCAGGAGAAATGTTATTGAAGAGTCTCTCACCCCGAGGTAAAAACGAGACTAGTGAACATTTGTTTGACGTTTTCTGTCTGTGCTAGTTATTGGTAATCTTTGTTTTTTTCCCAGGAACAATGAATGCAACGTTTAGCATGAGATTGAGAGCTGTCGGACGGAGCCCCTTTAGGGAGGTTTCCTCCTGTCATTGAAAACTTTCTGCATTTTGAGCCTCTGCTGTGGTTTAAAGTCTGTCAGCCTCCCAGGGCCCCTTACTGGCCTGAGGGCCCCAAGCGGTTGGCGCCTTCAGACTCTCAGTTAAACGTCAAGTTTGCGTTGGTTGGTCAGCGTTACATTTTGTTTCATAACCAGCAGAAAACTTCTCACAGCGTGTTTTTAACAGAAGGAGTTTAATCAACTATTCAGATGTCTCCTGGTTAGAATCCTGTGTGGCGATGTGTAATTGGTTTGCATGGTGGTGTGTGAAGGCGCGTCAGTCATCTGAGTGTGTGTGTGTGTGACGCCGGGGTCAGTGGGTGCACCTGTTGTCCTCGCTCTCTTTATGTGCATATCATGTATCACAATATTTCATCCCGGTGATGGCAGTATGTCAGTGTGTGTGTGTGTGTGTGTGTGTTTGTGTGTGTGTGTGTGTGTGTGTGTCGGATCATATGTCTTTATTTTACAGAGGATTAAACCTCACTCCTGTCTTGTGTTACCATGGTTACATAACTGTGTTACTCCGGTAAGCGTATCATTGTCACTCACCTCAGGACGTCCTGTACCTGTGAGGTTAATTCACTAACATTTTCTTTACGACGTTAGCGTCTTAATTTGATCCTCCCCTCTTAAAGGTAAAAAGACCTTACTCAAGAAAAGAGATGGGATAAGATGCAGGAAGGATTTCTTCTTTGTATTCCTCTCGTTCCTGCTGTCCACACTTCCTTGCCGCTGAGGTGGAGGTCGGAGCAGGCCGTGCATGAGTGAGGTGGTGAAAACATGGTTTTGTTGCAGTTATATCATTTTTGTGTGTTTGTCTCTTCACAGAGTTAAGGATGATGGCTGAGGGGCGTTTTGCCAGCCTGCCGAGGTCCCTGCATGCCCACCACACCCTGGGTGGAGGCTCTGCTCACCCTGGAGTCCCCCCCTCCTCTCTGGGAGTCTCCAGCAGCAGCACCTGCTCCTCCAGGAGGCTCCAGGCCTCCCTCGCCTCCTCCATGGACCTCCTCAGCTCCAGACCGGGGTGAGTTCGGTACTGGTAGAACTCTGGGGGAAGATGCTGCTTTTCCTTTTGTCGCTCCTAGATGTTCAGGATTAGTTCCCAAGGAAACATAGTTAAAAAAACAGTGTTCTACTTCTCTTTTCTTTGCTGCTACTTCCACAATAGTTTGGACAAACCCACCATACTTGGGACTCTTGGGAAATCCCCAGTTCATCCAAAAATATCCAGCGTGTGGAGCTAAATTAAAGGAAAAGATGTATAATACGCGTGACATCAGATGTTTCCCCTTGAAGCTGAGAAAAAATAAAGATTATAGTAATTGATCTGTATTAAACAAGCAACTTCAAAAAGAAGTGTTAGAACAAGTTCATACAGAGTGTGGAAGGCTGTGAAGTGGTGAAAGGAAGGTTTGTCTTGAAATTGGGTTTTAAAATTGAAGGTGGAGATAGTAGCTATGTTCACAACATTCAAACTGGACCCCTCCTCCTGGGCTAATCGCCCCCAGAAGCTCACACTCTCTGCAGGACGTATAGTGTATGGTTACTCCTCGTATCTACACTGCAAGCTACCGCACGCTAACACAAGCTAACCGCAGGTGTTTGGCAACTGCCTGTCCAACAGAAAGCAGGCCTCCCTGTGATTATATTTTCTCTTCCTTGCCGCCTCGTTTCGCATCCGTCATATTTGCCAGTTAAATAGCGTCCAATCGCTGATTTGTAACCACTTCTAAACTCACCTGCACGTTGTCATTTCCTGGGGGAAACACACAAGCTTCCCGCCCAGAAAACGTTCCGAGTAAACCAAAACATGAGAATCTAGTCAGAGGACCGGGTCTCTGCAGACACAGTCACCACCACACATGTATCGAGGCCCAGAAGTTGAATTATTGAGCGGCACTACTTTTGTATAAGTACATTTAAGTTTCAGGTAAAAAGGTCTAAATTGAGCTGCCGCATAACTTCCATCCTCCTTTTTTTTCCTTTCCTCAGTTTTCCTCCCGGCAGCAGTGGCAGCCTATCAGAGCTTCCCACTTCTTCCTACCAGCAAGTCTCCATTCACGGAACTCTGCCTCGGCGCAAAAAAGGAGGGGTCAACATCACCCACGGGAACTACACCTGGGACCCCAGAGCCAATCACATGCAGCCGGTACTGACTCCCGGACAAGTCAATAAACCCCTGACCTCCCCGCTTGTCCAAAACATCATTGATGACTTTCATGGTTACAGGTAAACACACACAAAAATATGTTTATATATCATTTAATTTAAATAGGGTAAAGACAACCAATCAAATGCATCCACATACATACATACATATACATATATACATATACATATATATATATATATATGTATATATATAGGTGTGCTGGTTAGGTTTGTTTGCCTGACCAATGGGCACTGACATGGAGGTGAGGGGCGTGTCCAACAAAAACATGGATGACACCACACCCGGTTAAAAAGATGGGAACAAGGCGATGATTTAAAAAACCATGCAAGATATTCAAAAATATATATTTTGAAGATCATGAAGAAATGTATTTAAAAAAGTCAAAAACATTTACCAAAATAAAGATTCTAAGAGACATTTAAAACATAGAAACTCATTAATTGAAAAATCGTCATTCATCCCCCCCCCCCCCCCGGAAATAAACTTTCAAATAAAAAATCTAAAATGCTTCTCTCTTTTTCCTGATAAAATGTATTTAGCCACCTCTTAGATTTAGTTTGATGGCTTCTAGGAAAAATAAAGAGCAGATTCATTAAAATGTCTTGCAACAGCCCTGCATGTAGGTTTTGAATATTCAGAGAGTTTCTCCAATGTATGATCTTCTCAATCTACATCTACAATATTTTGTCATTTTTGATTTCTTGTGACTCTTCACATCACACTTTTTAAACTGTTCCTCTTCAAAGCGAGGACTCTGACAGAGAGTTCAGAGGTCGGATGTAGAGAAGTGAGTCTGTAGAAGAGCCCTGAGGGGGAGTAGCAGTTATCTCAACTTCAGAGGGAACAAACACACACACACACACACACACACACACACACACACACACACACACACACACACACACACACACACACACACACTCAGACACATACACACACACACACACACACACACACACACACACACACACACACACACACACACACACACACACTTCATCCCTCATCATGTCTTCCCATCTTTCTATGTCGTGTAGAGTTACAGCAGACTGTATCTGATGCAACCAGCTTTATGTGTGTGTGTGTGTGTGTGTGTGTGTGTGTGTGTGTGTGTGTGTGTGTGTGTGTGTGTGTGTGTGTGTGTGTGTGTGTGTGTGTGTGTGTGTGTGTGTGTGTGTGTGTTGCCCCCAGCAGTCGGGTTACCTTTGTAGGTCAGGGTGTGGCAGGACAGATCACAGATTACTGTGAGTCTTTTGTCTGCTCTCTCCATCTTTCTGCCTCCATGCAGGATACATTTCATACACCACTGACATACAGAGGGACAATTTGTCCGGGTCAAATTCAGTCTGTACAGGTGGTTGAAGAATCAAACTCATCCCTTTATTTGTTAATGTCTTTGCAAGAGATGTAATGATACTTTGCAAAACGATGAACAATCAGTACAAATAACTAGGGATAATTCAAATCGATGAGACTCACAGATAGCTTTGAAAAACATCTCGGATCATCTCAAGAAATGTTTCCCTGTTGTTCAAAGTAAGGATGATTCAAAAACAGCCTTTAGTCTGAACCCAAAACTCAAACGTGTTATAAATATAAAATTAAAAATATACTTGTTTGTATTGTTAAAAAGATTCCAAACGTTCCTCTCCGCTCTTCTTGTGGTTGTTTTGAAGCTCCAGATGAATCAGAGCGGACTCTTCTATAAAAAGATGAAGGCGTGCGTACATCTCAGAGGAATGTAACCACTGGCCGCTCGATCTTGACTTTCAATAGCTCATTCTGTCAGCTGACCTCTGACCCCTGACCTTATGGTGCACCGGCTCCCCATTGGTCAGTTTATATTTCTGGTGACCTCAGTGGACCACCGGGCGAGAGGGGGGTAGGAGATGACAGACAGCAACATACTGTCAGCACATGCAACTTTTCCTCTCATCAATAAACCAAAGTGTTGGTTACGACCCCTGTGAACTCCCCGCTTATCTTCCATTCATTTACTCCTTCATCCTTACATCAAATCAGGCCGATACAGAAAACCAGCAACTTCAAAACAATAGTTTCACTGCATGGTTTTAAACTAAAATCCTTAGAGTATGTGTTCATGACTAATCATTTAACATTTCTGACAAACTGAGGGAGAAAAACTGCAGATGGTAACACATGATAGATACATGAGTGGAGTCAAGAATACAGGGGTGTACATTCTGCCAGGTTATGCCTATTTAGAAGACTTTTTTTTAAAACTCACATGCTACAGATTTACAGATTTGCATCGCCAAAATAAGAGGAACAATAACAGGAAAATAAATTATTAATTTTTTTTCAGTCGGTGCAACACCCTTTGAACTCTGCATCTGTGCAGCATATTCTCATTCCTGGTGCTGCTAAAGCTATTTTTGCTTTTTCTCACTTCTCTGCAGCGCTGTTAGCACCCAACATAAACTAAAACATATAATGAGAAAATGGAACTTTTCTATGCCACTAAATGATCTGCACGATCTGAGTGACGTCTGCTCTGTGTTTGATGAAAGTTAAAGTAATAAATGTGACAGAAAATATAATACTCAAGTTAAGTATGGATACTCAAAATGTAACTTAAGTACAGTACTCAAGTACATTTACGTTTTCTTGTTCTAAATCCACTCTGATCCTGTATTTGATCATGCCTATAAACCCTTCTATTTCAGCCCTGCTCAGAACAGGCTGTTTCTGTGTCTGTACCTTTAAATGTAAATGAGCTGTGTCTGACCACTCCCCCTTTCTGGAAGGGCTAAGGGTGTCTCGGTCTTTCTCGCTCCATGTCCTATTGTTTATGGTGAGAAGGCAGACTCAGAGGGCAGAACAAACACTTAGCTGTGGGAGTGTCATCCACCTGGGGGAGGGGTTACTGCCCTTTGTGATGTCATGAAGGGACACTCTCCAAACGGCCTGTTTGAGCACACATTTTCTAGAGAGAGGTGGACTTTTCTCCTAACTTGGGGGGGTTTGTAGACAGACTAGTGACACATATTAGTGTTAGAGAAACATGGTGAAGTGTATTTTGCAAATTATGTGACCTTTAAAACCTGAAGGGTGGTGCGATGACTTTATAAATTCTTCAGAGTAAGAGTTCCATAGGTCCTCATGTCTCTTTATAACAGAGTGTAAAAAAGCAGAATTTCCCCTCTGGGATTAATCAAATATATTTAAACAGCTAATTATGAATATCAATATATATTCACATTTTGTATGAATGAATGCCACAACATTACATTATGCTGCTCTGAGTCTGATAAGCTTTTATTGTGAAAACACACTGACCTCTGTAGGCTGCATGCACACCCTGCACGCTGCTTACAAACTACTCTACTGTCTGTCATTTCTCTCTCTCTCTCTCTCTCTCTCTCTCTCTCTCTCTCTCTCTCTCTCTCTCTCACACACACACACACTCACATGTATGGAGTATCCCTCTGTAAAGCCAGCTGTGGTCATGCTGAGTATCATGCGGTGAAGTGCTAAGAACAACAGTAGCCAGAAAAAGACTGCGGCGGGCGCTCTCTCTCTCCTTCCTACTCTTGTTGTTTTTTCCTCTCTCTCGCTACTCTTCCACTCTTTCTGTCTTTGTCGCTGCGTCTCTTGTCTGGGTTTCAGGTCGGCACTGAGGTCGTAGAAGCAGAAAAATCCAGTGTCCGCTGCTGTTTCAGCAACATGGTCAAAAAAAAATAGCAAAGTTAGCTGTGGTTCGCTTGTGGAATGCTTCAGGATTTCAGACTCACTATTCTTTGATTCTCAGTTCTGTGACGGTGTCTGGAACAATGAAAGTGTAAGAAAATCATCCACTAAGAGCATACACATAAGAAGCAAAAAAAAAAGTCTCTGTGAGGGATTTATTTGTTTGTGGACTTGATTTCTGAAGCCTTAAATTTCAGATTTTGGCCCACACCATCCTGGTCAGATGGACCATAGTTTTGGTGCATTAGGTCTATCTTCTGGTTGATTGGTTGCCTTGGTAGCGACTTTTAAATCCAAGGTAGCTTTGGATGAACAGGTGCATAATTCTGCATTCACATGGATTAAATCAAATTAAAATCCGATGAAGTTGAGAATACTGGTGATGTTGCTCTATATCTAATGAACGAAAACTAACAATACATTCATATAACTTTCCATAAATGTGAATTTCTGCTTCAAACACACATCAATCTGATCCGTTGTGTAATGTACCGACCTGCGGGATCTTTGAGGTTTGATGAGTAGGTTGAATGTGTGCTTCTGTTAGCATCAGGAGGCATGTCATCAACTTCAGCCAGCCTCCTTTTGAACTTTAATTGGCTCCAAATTACATCACCGATACAAGATGTCACAACTGTTACAATTTTGTACAACAGAAGGAGACAGAGATATGTTGTCCATATTTATATACAGTCAGTTATCCTCATGCAGTGTAGTCTCCCTCTGGTGGCCATTCAAATAGTTGCAGGTGTAATGCTCCTTTTTAATGTCTTATTGTTTTAACAAAGAGGTCTTATAAGCAGTCCATGATCAAGAATCAGGGTGTAAAACTTTCCTTCACCTGACGACCAGGGTTTAAGATTCTCCATCACCTCCAGCTCTGTTTACGTTCCTGATCTTTGACCTCCCTGAGTTAATGGAAAGGAGAATTTCCCTCAGTTTTTTCACATTCAACTGTAGGAGGGTTTATATGTGGGTGTTGTCTGGTATGTGGTGATTCTCCTCGCTCCCACCTCTGACCAGAGGGCACAGGACAGGAGGTTAGGAGGAGGAGGAGGAGGGGGCAGGTGGTTGTCGTGGTTCAGGTTTGGGGCCAGTCAGAGGTTCAGCCAACCACAGGGTCTAACAAAGCGACACATACCACTACAGTAAAGTGAAAGTCTGATTTTAGCTGCTGTGTGACACCACAGACATGTCTGCCTTCTCTTCAGCTTCAACAGTGGAGAATATTTACGAGCTAAATTAAAAAACGGATCACTTTATGGCAAACTATGAGCAACAGTTACAATGAGCACTATTTACCCACATGCATAAAGGGCATTGAAACTTTTGGCTTTTTTCTTTTGCATTTCTTAAGAACATATGATTTGATCAAGTGCAAACAAAACACTTTACAACATTTCTTTTGGTTATTTTTTGGCCTTAGATTTTTAGATTAGACAGCTGAAGAGAGACAGGAAAGGTTGGGAGGAGAGAGTGGGGGGATGGCGTGCAGCTAAGGGCAGAGGTCAGATTCAAACCCAGGGCCACTGCGATGAGGTCTATAGCCTCGGTACATAAGACACACAACGTAACCGCTAAGCTATCCGGCGCCCCTTGTAGATTAAAGAAAAGGTTCTTTCACTAGTGTGCTGTTAACCACTTCATCAAAAACCTACCATTCATTAACGACTGTCTCAAACATAAAAGATACATAGATAAAAAATAATGAATCTTCCCGGTGATGGTCTTGTTTACTTTTGTAGCTCATAAAGAAATATCAGTATCGAATTTCAGCCTGTTTCATAACCAGTGAAAAACTCATTACAGGAGCTTTAATCAGGGCTGATACTAATGATTCATTCATTATCAGAATGCCCTTTTTTCCCCGTTCATTGAAAAATAGCTTGGCCTATGAAATGCATAAAAAAGTAAAATATCTGTCCAAATGAGAAATTCTGTTTGTGTATACTCATCAATTAATCGACTAATAATCGCAGCTCAAAAATGGTCTTACTATAGTGGTTAGTGCCCATGTACGGAGGTACAGGTAGGTGGCCCCGGGTTTGAACCCGACCTGTGGCCTGTCTCTACAAAAAAAAGCCCTAAAAAAAATCTTTAAAAATGATCTTACTGCATATTCGAGTACGTTAGGCTATAAATGCTGCTGTGTGTGGCCACGGTTTACTTGCTCCATATTTGACATACAAAAAACATGAAATAAATAAACTAGTAGATAGCGTCCTTCAGAGTTTAGATATTATGTTGGACTAAAGACTGATTGATGATCGCAAAACCTGTCACAGAGGCTGTGACTTCAAAGTAAGAATGCAAAAACAAAACCTTCCAGATCAGCCAATAAGAACCTGTCCATCTTCTGTTGTGAAGACATACAGTGTAGCTCTGTGTTTATACTCCATGTGGGGCGTCAGGATGTGTTGGATTAGAGATCCGATACCTCAAACAGGTGTCCCTCCCTCCGTGGCTCTGCAGAGAGACGCCTGACTTCATCCTTTATGAATAAAGACTATATACATTGTTGTGAATGGAGGCTTCTGTTGGCTTACATCACATACTCCTGCTCATTATTCTGGACATATTAAACCGAGAGGGCTTAGAGCTAAACATATTTGGTTTGGTAAGTAAAGCAGGCGTGCTGCTATTCCCGTGGGAATGCCTGCATCGGCTTATCTGGGATTTTTAACTACCAGCCTTACTAATGTAGAGGAGGCTTTGAGCTAATTACCCGCTTTCACTGAGCTCCTGGATATGTGTGGAGAGAGTCTGAGCTACTTTATTACACTCAAGGAGCAATAGTCGAGGCAAAGAGGGAGAGAAGTGGGAATAAAAGCACCTGGTCAAAAGGACAAATCAAACAAAATGGCCAAATTATAATGTTTTCTTTGCATTCTCACCTTTTAAAAAAACATGTATGTTGCAGAGGAGTCAATAATGCAGCAGCTGAGGAGCGTGCAGGAGAAGTCGATGGAAATCACAAACCCCTGATGTCTGATGTTGTTGCAAATAAATATTTGGAGAAGTGCAAGAATCTAAAAAATGCAATATGAGAGAAAAACAGCAAAAAATAAAAAAAGCGGCTGATGCTGTCTTTGTGTGCTGTTACCTCTGTGAGAATTTGTCAGTGGACTCAGAGGAGTAGGCGTGTGGCTGCGATGTGTGCTATATGGAGGGGGAGGAAAGAGAGAGAGAGGGAGAGAGAGAGGGAGGGAAGGAAGGAGGCCAAGTCAGGCCGGCGCTGAGTGAACATGTTTACTACCGACTGAGAGAAAGAAAAAATGAGAGACAGACAGAAAAAAGAGATTTGAAGCAAACCAGTGAGAAGTTTGAGTTTTTCTTTTACTTGGGACTGCATCACACTGACATTCCCGTCGCACCTCTTCACCTTTTTGCTCTTGTGTATTGCAAATATGGACTCATGTTTGGATCTGTGACATCCATTCGGACCTTTTTTAAAGAAGCACCACATCTCCACTGATGGCTGTAATCTCTTAAAAGAGCAGAGAGGTGTTTGAGTCTCTAACCGAGCAGAATCAGGGACTCACCTGGATTACAACACAGCCAGCTCAGCAGTTCATCTGTCACAGGATCGGCAGAGAGAGGAATCAAGAGAGCCAGGAGTTTGGGATCCAGCAGCGTGATGTGTTCACTAAACAGGACGTTGTCTTTGTCTTTGTTCCCCAGGGAGCCCACTGCAGGTCTGGACGCCACCGTGGACTATGTGAAGGTAGGAAAAACTGTTTCCTTTTTTTTGTGATTTAAGGAATCTAGAGAAAAATCTTCCACTGATGGATGCAGGATTTTGATTTTGCTGGATATAGTCTTAGCAATTCTCTCTTTGTGGTCTTATTTGTCAATAGAAAATCTGGCACTGATGTAGATATTGAACTTGCATTCAGAAAAAGAAAACTATTGCATAAAATCACTCTGCCGATGCAAAACCCGTTAAATGAACTTCAGCACTTGCACACATTCAATGAGCATGTACAGTATCTCTGGGAGTGGATGAACCACACAAAGATAAAAGACGTGCAAACACACAGTAGCAATCTGTTGCAGATGTGCAGCTCAGCTGTGAGCTTCAATTTGCTGCAGTAAATCATCCGTGAAGTTGTAGATGTAGAGGTTTTTCTCTTAATGTAGAAAATCTTGGTTAAGTGGTGAAATCAGCACCAAAAGCTGTGGTGTAACTTCTGCAAGTTATTTAAATCTTTAAAACCTTCAACGATTACGACTCAAATGTAAACCGTTCATTCTTTTTTTTTTCGTACAGATTTAAGTTGGTCCATCACGCTGAAAGACTGACACTAGTTTTTACAGGATATGTAATAATCATCACGATTTCCCCGCAGGCTTGAATGTAAACATCACCCATACAGGCGACGTTAATCTAATATCCACTCGGCTACAAGAACAAAACACCTCCAAATCATCCGTCTGTCACTGTGCGCCGCCACTTTGCTCTAAATCATATTAACATAAGCAGCACCTGAGCTCCGCCTCTCCTCAGCCGCAGAGAGGTGACGACTGAGAGGTGATCATTCTGTTATCACCTCTGCATCACGCTGACAGATGATCTCATTTACTCTTGTATGTTTCTGTCTCTTTCAGTCCATGTCTGAACCTCTCTTATCGTTCTCAGCCTAGATATAAAATACATGCACACACACAAAGCAGCCAGAAGTCTGAATATTAAATATTTCCACATAACACTTCTTGTATGTAATGATTTTATGTGCCAAACACTCGCACTAAAATCTTGAGTATTTTCTACATTTTGTCAATATGTTCTTCAGCTAGATATTACCTTCATTAAATCATCTTTTAGTTGACACGTGTTGCATTTCCACCTTCTTCTCCTGCTTCTTTTTTTAGATGTATTTTGGGGCTTTTTCTGCCTTTATTGTAGAGATAGGGCAGTGGATAGAGTCGGAAATCAAGAATAGAGAGATAGGGGAATTACATGCAGGAAAGGAGCCAGTTGTCAGATTTGAACCCGGCCGCCCGCCTGGACGACTACAGCCTCCGTTACATATTGTGTCTTGTCAGCAAATATTTTAGATGATTGTTTGGTGAAACGGACTAAAAAGGGTTCAGTGGCTGAGTTCAGAAATGAACAGTGACATGTAGAGAAAATGGTTTTATTCTGCAGCATTTGTTATTGGAAAAGTCTATTTAATGTTTTTATGCAGAAACAACTACTTTGTCCTTCGGTTTAAGACTGAATCCAACATTTTGTACGCCTAAAGAAAAGAGGAAACTCAGATGAAATCATCAAATGTCCTCTTTAAGTCACAAAGTTCTTCACCTTTGGATGGGTTTAAACATCTTCTTGACCGCCTTATAACAAATTAAAGATATCTTGATTTGTGATTGGAGCCTTCTCTTTGGGTCGATCAAAAAGAAACAGTTGAAGCTGCAGCAAGACGTAGAAGTGATAATTATTCCTTTTATATAAACGGATCTGCTCAGATTTCACATATTGCAACTGTTGCAAAGCAGCACTTACATACTGAGATAGTACTTTCTAATGTGTTTTTTCCAAGGGTTAACTCATCTTCTCTTCTCCTCTCCCTCCTAAAACCATCCATTCCTCTTCCTCCTCCTCCTCCTCTTCCTCCTCTGTCTATTAGCTCATATGTTTGGATGCTAACACCTCGGTCTGAAAAGCAAACTCAATCCTTAGAGTAGGGCAGTATGTGGGAGCTATAACCACACACACACACACACACAGATTGTGTATTTATTTAGTCAATTTAGGGTTGTGTGCGAGTGTAAACGGAGAGCGTGTGTGCTGACCACAGATGGAGCTACTGTAACCCGGGTTATTATATAATACGTGTGAAAGTGTAGCTGTCAGCTCTCACAGTCCAGGTGTGTTTGCACTTCCACTGTGGATGAAAAACACACACATATGTCCACCTACACACACACACACACACACATGCACAGACTGTAACGTATTGTTCATTAGCTGTGTGTCATTTCCTTTTGTTGGGGTCAAAAGTGCACGAGCGCTTCAGTGAGCCGTTCATTGCCGGGTGCAGTTAGTCCATCGTTTACGTACGGTACGAGGCTATAGGATGGACGTACTTTAGGAAGGAAGTGTCTGTCAAGAACAATACGATCAAGACGTCTCACTGTTCCCTCTTCCACGACTGTTTGATGTCTAAATGCTGCTCATTGTCCGAGAAGGAGGTGTAACTACTGACAGGAAGGAGTAACTGCTTCTGTTGGAGTCAAATAATCAACAAAAAACTCATCTTTAAAGGGGACATATTGTTAAAAATCCACTTGTGCAGTGTTTTTGAACATATGTTTGGGTAACCTGAGTGTCTACTGACCCACAAAATGTGAAATAAACCCATCCAGTCTTTTGTTTGTGGTTTGCATAACTCTTACAACACACTCCTCGTGTAAAACTTTTGTACAGGTCAGCCATTTTTATTCTCACTGGCAAAGGAGGATGTCTACCAGGAAAACTCAGCAGGGGCTCATTACATTTAAAGAGACACACACACCAAAACGGAGCGTTCTGAGAGAGCTGGTTTATACAGGGTCACAAACCTCCTCTGGTGCTTGATTCATGTTATATTTTGACCAAAACACAGCACAGATGTTTCATTTAGACCACAGGGGACTGTTTGAAAACGTGGAGAAGGGGGATAATATGTCCTCTTTAAGATACAAAAAAAGGTGTCGATTTCATACAAAAACTGCTCCTTAAAAACTTGAAGATCTAAAATACATAATGTTTGAAGGAAGACGAAGTGAAAGACAGAATTGAAGATTGTTTTCTCTTCTGATCCTCTTTAGTAAAGGGGGAACACAACTTTTCTTTGACTCTTAAAGGCATCTCTTCTTTTGCTCTTTCACTTTTATTCCCTCTCTGTGAGTCGAAAAAGCGTCTGAACCCTGATGAAACAGCTTTAGGAAACAATAATCCTCTTTGTGAGTGTGTGTGTGTTTGTGTGTGTGTGTGTGTGATTTTATGTGTGTGTGTGTACATGAGGTCTCCAGCTGCACAAGTTTTCACCTCATCTCATGAGTTACACTTTACAGCAAACAGTACACACACAAAATATCATGATGTAGTGGTTACAACACCAGTAAACGGCGTTAACATTATGTCTTTTATTGTGTTTGTCACACTCTAGTGGTCAAATTGAAGTACTACACGCTGACAAAGACAGACACACTCGAGCTGAAGTTGTATCAGGTGTCAGTCAGTCAGTGAGGCGGTTAAAAGTCCAAACAGCCGTGTGACATTCATCAGATCATCGTCCCCGTCTATCAGCGAGCCAGCACGAGTTCAAACCAGGCAAACAGCCAACCAGCTGCTCCTCCTAATATCCAGCTCCACCAAGCAGCCCGGGGAGAGTCAGTCTGTCCGTCAATAAAGCCACACAGACGATCAATCAGTGAGTTTGTCGCCTGTGAGCAGAGAGGGCGGCGCGCCAAAAACACAAAAGCTCACTAAAATAAACACAGAGCAGAAAAGAGAGACCTGTGTGCAGGATGATGGATCCGTCACAAACCAGATCCATGAATTCTGTAACATATCTCTGAGAATCTGCTCAGAACTGTTTCTGTGTCTGTAGCTTTAAATGTAAATGAGCTGTGTCTGACCACGCCCCCTCTCTGGAAGGGCTTGGGTGTACTCTGGCTTTCTCGCTCCATGTCCTGTTGTTTACAGTGAGAAGGCAGACTCAGAGGGCAGAAAAAACACCTAGCTGTGGGAGTGTCACTCACCTGGGGGAGGGGCTACTGCCCTTTGTGATGTCATGAAGGGAAAATCTTCAAACGGCTTGTTTGACACACATTTTCTGAAAAGTGGAGCAGGCAAAAGACGGGGGGGATGGACTTTTCTCAAGATTGGGGGGTTTGTAGAGAGACTAGAGACGCATATTAGTGTTAGAAAAACATGGTGAAGTGGATTTTACTTAATATGTGACCTTCAATAAAAGTTATCTACTAGATTAACAAAAGGACTATGAAATCATGTTTCACCTACCTACACCATTGCTGGATCTGTTTACACTCCCAGGTTAAGATTAAAGATGATTTGTCATGACTAATATCAGGTCTACAATTAAGTTGAAATGATTAAACTATCATCAGAAATGCACATTTCCTAGAGTGGTTGACCAAATTTTGCTGCAAAAAAATGATCATATGTAGTATCTGAATTTAAACTATAGCTTTAAAAAACACAAAAAGCTGAGATGTATCTTGTGTTCAAACTGTTAAAACAAATTTGTTATTTTGCTTTCATACACAAAAAATGTTTCTTTCCATAATAAGCTATGGGACAGCTGTTATATTTGAGGTAAAAACACTTTTTTAGAGACTATTTTAGATGCATTTTATGTACTTTATACCACACTGCAACCCTCTGAAGCTTACTTTTAGGCTAACAACAATAAACTTTATGCATCAATGTTCTCATCGGAGTCACATGAAGCGCTGTGAGATTTTTATTGACGCTGTGAGGGGCTCGCACAGTAAAGGGGTCACGTTGCACACATCGATATGCCACTAAGATCACAGTCCATTACTGATCAATGACCCATCACGGGCACAGACACATCCAGCCTCTCTGTGGGTGTAAACAACAACGTCACTGACATTTATTCTCTGGCAGTGGAGCATGATGAAAGCGTCCAAACTGGTACAGAAGGGCACCGACTGCGGCTGATATCAAACCATCGATTCTCTTTAAAATCCGGCCTCTGTTTACCCAAAGTCGAGTATTGGCTGATGATTTGATTTGACTTTGTTGCTCAGTCGGGCTGTTCATAACAAACAGGTGATCGTCGGAGGTGATGACAAAAGAGACGCCATTCTTACTTAACGTAGCTTAAACACTAAACAAACAATTAAGATAAGATTAGATACAACATGACACAAGAGGAGACTAAACAATACAGTAATATAATACAATACAATACGACAGGATAGGATAGGAGAAGAAGATATACTTTATTAATCCTGCAAGGGGAACTTCAATTTTACACTCTGTTGTTGTACATGCTTCACACACACACACACAGGCTGAAACACACACTCACACACAAACAGGGTCCTATGGACATGCACTGATGGAGGGATGTCAGAGTGAGGCGGCTCCCCACAGCGACCAGACCAATTTCCAGACTCAAATACATGTTGAGAATTAAGCTTTATATTTAAGACAATCTGACCAGTTTCTACGCAGCTTCCTGAAGTTGCTGAGACAGTTTTCCTCTCCTTTCTCGAGAAACAACAAACAAGATAGAAATAGAAAAACATAGAACCTCAGCGTGCAGATCTCTGTCCCTCGTTGTTTTCATAAAGCATTCCTGGAGCGACGGATGTGTGTATTTTAAGGTGGACGTTTAGCCTAGCTGGTGATTTGGGGCCGCTGTGGTCGGCTGTAGTGTGTGTGTGTGTGTGTGTGTGTGTGTGAGTATAAGTGTGTGTGTGTGTGTGTTGTAGTGTGGTGCCCATGGGGAATGTTCTACATGTATTTCCTTTGTGGATCCTCAGAGACTTCATGCTGTAATTAGTGGCTCCGTTTCCTGCGGCAGAATATTCCTTCAACTGGTCTCTGCAGGGGTGTCACCCTCAGAGTGTGTGTGTCTCTGTGCATGTATGTGGCTGTTGGT